GATATCACTTGGTGAAGATGAACCCATACCTTTTGGAGATATTGTTACAATGAAATTGCATGACATTGCTTTGCAGGCCATTGTGATGTCATTGGACATCATGATGTCACAATCAAACATCACATATTTCTCTGGATATATGCTGTATATCTATCAAACAAGAACTTGGTAGTTCTGTTTACAAACCAAATGATTTCAGGAGAAGATTTTGGATGATAAAAAGAACCTCATCCGAGTGTCTTTGATAAAACCTTAATCAACACGTCAAAAACGTTTAACCTTTTCGGCAAGCCTTGTACTCCATAAACTTTTTGTTCTTTCGTGTTGATGAATTAGTTATCAAAACACACCTGGGTGAAATTCTCTATACAGTTTGATTTAACCTTAACATACTGCCAGAATGCCAAATCAAATGTAATGTTATCACAAACAAACACAGTAAGCCATTTTCAAACTTACCAAGAAAGTGTTATCAATAATATTGCCATTTTCATCCTCACTACCAACTGGGTGGGACCCATGACCTTCATCAGTTTCAAGGTCATCCGGGTCTTTATCACCATGGCCACCTGAGCACTCTAGTGACTCATCTGTGGAACCAGTCTCGTCTTTGACTGGGTTGTCTTCTACAGTGAGGGTTGTCTCTAACTCACTAGCAGAATAGAGATCTCCGGGTGGACCGTCAGGGTCAATTTGGGATAAAGGTGCTTCAGAATAATGGGTTTCTATGTTCATATATGATCTAACTGGCGTGGATGAAATCTCAACAACACATGGATCAGGACCTTTGCTATCCCATGATTCCTCAGAATGGTGTGTTGCATCGTGGGAAGGAGGGGCATAGAAGACTTGGTCCAGTGTTGGTGGAACGTAAGGAAAGACAACTTGATAGGTGGGTTGTGAATGGGATTCTGGATGAGATGTTTCGTGAGTGTTTTCAGCTTGATTGTTGTTTTGATGACACGAACTCAAAACGTAAAAACGGCGTCTGTAAACAAACAGAGCGTGCTGCAATGCCACTTCATATCCTTACAGGATATAATCACATATTTCTTGGGAAAATTTGCAAATGAAACATGGCTGGCAGGTGTTTCTTTCAATTCTGAGTAAATTAATTTGAATTTGAAATGGGTTAGCGGAAATTGGAAACGACGGGTGACAGGTGTTAAGAAGAAACGGGAGACTAACAAAGAAATACAACATCAAACTACAAAATAGGTTAACCCTTTCTAACATGCCACACAGTTAACTCAGACCACTCAAAAAAAAGTCAGACTTTTGGAAATGGAACAAAATTTGTTTTCATTTAATCAGACCTTAGTTGTCATGACTGATAAACAAAGATCTGTGTACGCCCCATGATTGGTCACGAGTGTTGGTCTCTTTTCTAGCAGAAAACCAGTCTAAAGAAAGTGAAATTAGAGCTGTAGAGCTCAAGAAAGAGCTTTCTGACTGGCTAATATCAACTTCTTTTTGTCGACTTCATTGGGCAAAGTTTCCGAATAGTTCCTTTGACATGATCCATACTGGCATGTCCTCAGATGTTTGTTTAGCAAGAGCTAACGTCTGATATTAATGAGACTGAATTTGTTCCAAACACTGACAAACATGCGGAGACATGGATGTTTCAGACTAAAATTTGCCAGATGTTGGCATGAGAAGGGTTAACATATTTCACCATATACAGGATTACAACAGTGCACAACATCAAAATGAATTAACAATGTTTTCACAACATCTAAAACTAGTACCCACATTTTAAAAGTATTAATATTTCTAAAATTCTTCAATCTGTATGATCCCAGAATGATTTTCAGAATCATTCAAATTTGTTGTAATTGGTTTGCTATTTCCACTCAGTACTCTTATTGACACAACAAAAAAGAGTTATCTCCCCTTGAACCAAGAAAACAACTAATAAGTTTTTTCTCTTACAGGGAAAGCATTCCTAACAAAATCAAAATGTGTAAGCACTGGTATGGTTCTGACATACCTAGCGACACTATCAGGTTGGGATCTGAACTCATGATCATTGGTTCCTGGAATGCCAAAGGGACATAACTCCACAGGGAACTGTCACACTTTCCACCACAGCCTCACCTGTGCCCTTCACACCTGTCTGTAGACATGTTAGAAATGTTCCTCTAAACATGGCTCCTCACCTCACATCACCACCCCAACCCCTTTTCTACAACCCTCCCTCTACAAGCACTCACCAGCCATACCTCATCACCCATTCTGTCCATCACAAGAGTATTTCTGTCCCAAACATGGAGAGAATGATTACTTTGTTTGGTTTAAGCCTCATTCAGCAATATTACAGCTAAAATATGTAGTATGTAAAACACCAAGTGTGGACCAGACAATCCAGTGATTAACGTCAGGCACATCGATCTAAACATGGGATTCTATGACATGGATCAACCAGGACAGAGGGCCTGACCACCTGATCCTGTTAGTTTCCTCTAATGATGAGCATGGGTTGCTGAGGATTCTATTAGTCCTACCTTATATACACAATTAACTGCTGATTCATATCCATTGTCGCCAGCAAGCAAAATAAGTGAGGGACATAATGTTGTCTAATGACATATTTAATGTGTCTGGACCAGACAAACCAGTGACTCAAAACATAATGAACAGTTCTGAATGGAGCTCCAGATAAGCTTTTGGCCATGTGGGTATGATACCCATACTTTTGAAACTAAGTGGGTATTTCCAATTTCAAGTGGGTATCCATACTTTTTGATACCCACCATATTTTTCAAATCTGGGTATTCATTTCAAATAACATGTTTAAGAGGTGTGACATTTTTTATTCAACAATAAAGATAAGACAAAATCCTCCAGGTTAAAGATGAGTGAGTGAGTTTAGTTTTCACGCCGGACTCAGCAATATTCCAGCTATATCGCGGCGGTCTGTAAATAATCGAGTCTGGACCAGACAATCAAGTGATCAACAACATGAGCATCGATCACGCAATTGGGAACCGATGACATCTGTCAACCAAGTCAGCGAGCCTGACCACCCAATCCCGTTAGTCGCTTTTTACGACAAGCATGGGTCACTGAAAGCCAATATTCTAATTCGGACCTTCACGGTCTCCAGGTTAAAGATGAATAACTATGGCCATAACTATAAAGTAATAATACTAAATTAAAGCTAATAGGTAATGCAGTTTAATCCACTTTTTCTGTAAGAAATAATATGTGCCTTAGTCTATATCCCTTTAAATGTAAAAACAGATACCAAGATCGCTATTACATAATAAAACTGCCATGTTTTCACTCGAACAGTTAAGTTTTTTCAAAACCTTGTTCCCATCGTGTTGTTTCACTTCCACACCGCGAATAGCTAATGTTACAAGTTCATTTAAGATATCACTGGCAATTGATTCTGATTGTGAAACACAGCACTTGCATATTAATTCATCTAGCAGTCCTCTAATGAAGTTGCTTTCTGTTTGTAGCATGAAAAATCCTAGATATTTTACTTTGAATGTGTGGAGTCTCGATTTGTTTACGCGTCATGTAGAAAGAAAACAGCTGTTTGATTGGTCGCTATTTTTCAATGGGCCAATCAGTGAAGAGTTAACACACCATGACTGGAATTCTATCTGTGTTGCGCATCTTAATTGACATTCAGAATGATTCTTTAATCACGAATATTTGGAGATGGAAAAACTATCGGTTTGTTTCGATTGGCTTGAATTGATACGATACGAAACATGATCTTGATGCATTGGGTAATATGCATATTTAGTGTAAACGTAAATATTTAGTGTATTTTTATATGCTGGCGTTTATTTTACTTGCGCATTTCAACTTTTCTATAGCGTATTATACGCAAATACATAGCTTATCTGGAGCTCTGTCTGAGTACTAGATTCTCAGTCACTAGTATCCTACATTAGGGGGTCCCTGGGTCCTGGGATCCTTGAAGTATCTGAATATAGGGGTTCATTCATCTGGAGCTCCTCACATTTGTGTCATGAGAAGTCCTGCTTGATGTTCAGTCTTCTATTGGCTACTGTGTAACTGTTGGCTTGAGGAACAGTCTCTTAAAATGAGAATCTGCCCTTCATGCAGTCGTGTTGTCTTGGAGTCTTCCCATGATGCAGTGGTATTGTGTGGGAGTCGACCCATGATGCAGTGGTATTGTGTGGGAGTCTACCAATGATGCAGTGGTGTTATCTTGGGGTCTACCCATGATGCAGTGATGTCTTGAAGTTTACCCATGATGCAGTGGTGTTGTGTGTGAGGGTACCCATGATGCAGTGGTGTTGTGTATCAATCTACCCATAATGCAGTGGTGTTGTGTGGGAGTCAACCCATGATGCAGTGGTGCTGTGTGGGAATCTACCCATGATGCTGTAGGTTTGCATAATAATCTGACCATGACGCCATTGGCTCGTGTAGAAATGTACCCATGATGCAGTGGCGTTTGGTAGGAATCTACAGATGATGCAGTGGTGTTGGGTAGGAATCGACCCGAAATGCAGTGGTGCTGTGTAGGAATCCACCCATGATGCAGTGGTGTTGTGTATGAATCTACCCATGATGCAGTGGTGTTGTGTATGAATCCACCCATGATGCAGGAGTGTTGTGTATGAATCCACCCATGATGCAGTGGTGTTGTGTATGAATCTACCCGAAATGCAGTGGTGCTGTATAGGAATCCACCCATGATGTGCAGGAATCTACCAATGGTACAGTGTGCTATGCTAGAGTCTACCCATGATGCAGTGGTGTTATAAACTTTGCCACACTACCCCAGGCTGTCTACACTGAACCATCCCAAATTTGATGATCTGTGTTAGACAAAACAAAATAATACAGACTTGTACTGTGAGAAATGTGTACCCAGTCCACTGAGTGCTTGGCCAGAGTGGTCTGATAGCTGAAGATCAGTAGCAATAGTTTTGCAGAGCAAACAGAAAAAGATTTGTATATCCGACCCCAGATGACATTAATCCCCAAAGCATGAATAGTCAACTTACCGATGATATATTCTGCAGCAATGACAAAAAAAAACATTTAAATTTACATCAGGTATTAAAATTTAGTGAAAAAGGAAAATATTAGCACATTTTATTCCTTGAACCAAACTTATGTCACCATCCCCAAGCCACACTTCATATATTCTCAGCTTAGAGATTTGTGTGTGAAACATCTGGGCTTATTTCACAAATAGATCCTAGATACAACAATATGTCCATTATGCTGAAGAATAGCTATGTTTGTCTGTTAAGTAATACCATTTAACTATATTTAAGCTACATGACATGTATTGGCTAAGAAAGACTACCAGATCAATTTACTTCTAACTCTCATAACAAACATTGGAAACTAAGAGCTGTGACAGTCGTAGCCCTAAGATCGCTTTGAAGAAATTGTTTTCCCCACGCCATTTTCACCAATCAACATAATAGAAAAACAAATACTATCTCTACAAAAAAATGCACTGACCTTTCAAGGATTCGACATTTTAAACATGAATATATTTATCTGTAAGCTTAGTATTGTCATCCTAAAGTTATGAGTTGTGCCTATTTATGAAAACCCCTATGAAGCCTCTTTGGGCATATATGAATGTACATAACTGACACATTCGTAACAACTCGTCCCTTTCTGTAACCTGAAAGTAGACTCGTACCCCTCTCGTAGCCATGTCCGGGAGAAATATTCCCTCAGCCAATCAGAATGTGCATATGTAGAGAAGAAATTTGGTTAAAATAGGTCTTTGAAATATTTTTCATTTGGGCTTGCATAATTTTTTTCCCAGACACTTCAAGTATATTCTAATTATTGCATAGTTCTCCTGGGTTTCCTGAATTTTTTATAACCAGGATATATTAACATTATGGCGTAGGGAAGTATTTAAGCATGTTAAACATACCCTTTAAGGTAATTTCCTTTGCGTGGATGCAACGTGTGTTTTCTTTGTAAACTAGAGTTACATGCCCTTGAAAATAGTTCGGCGACTAGAATATTTCTTTCTCTCTGCGCTTTTGAGCTCAGACAGAGCCACATTCAATAAAATGGCTACAAGAGGGGTACGAGTCTACTTTCAGGTTACGGAAAGGGACGAGAAGTTACGAATGATAACTGACAAACAGATGACCTACCACGCAGGGGTCCAGTGTGGGTTGCACAGTTTGCATGAATAAATTCCACCATATTTGGAGAAACTCCTGGCTGTGTCCAGTTCCAGGAAGCGGCATTACTTGACCGGTAGCAGTGTTAAAAGCATGGTGCCATGGCTTCACAGCACCAATAAAATGAACTATCTTCACACGATCTTTAAATCTAAAAACAAAAAGAGTTTCATGAAAGTGATGTTTATGTGAACGTTATTTTACAACATTTTTCATATGTACAAAAGGCTTGAAGAACAAAGAAAGGGTAATGGTGTTGGTTGATCTGTCTTCTCTTGGTATGACATGTTTTACTGTGATATGGAACCTGTCTGCCTGAAGACCTGACAACACCTGCACATAAAAGTTGTGTCAGGTGACCTTTCCAATCAGCAGCAGTTCTTGTTTGAATGGCTTCACAAAGACGATAGCAGATGATAGCCTACTGAAGAGACACGTATTGTCACATTTCACTCTTTCTATAATAGTGGCTAGACAATGATTTACTGAAAATGTTCAAATATTTGTCTTTGTTTAAATTAGAGTGAGTGAGTGAGTGTGAGTGAGTTGATTTTTACTCCGCACTCAGCAATATTCCAGCTATATGGCGGCTTCGTTTAAATTAGAAGATAAAGTTACTCTGTTTTCAATTTTGCAGTCCTTTATCGTTGATTTAAGACTGCTATAGTCCGTTTGGCTCAAAAGCGGACCCATGAATTGCAATCTAACTCAAAAACTTATAAACATAAAATACTCAATGAAACACTGATCATAATGAAAACGTCAGACCAACTCTGAGAGGTGTTTGCAGAATTTATGTCCTAAAAATAAAAAAGTTGTTTAACAAACTATCATTAAAATATCGACACAGTTAACTATTTGGTACGAGGGAGGAGTGCAGAGAAAGGGACAGCCAGCGTGCGAGAAAGGATGGAAACGGCACAGCACAGGTTAATGAATCAATAACTTTGTCGGCACTTGTGCACGTGCTTCTCTAACACCTGGCTGGTCCCTTTCTCTGCACTCCTCCCTCGTAACAAATAGTGAACAGTGTCAATATTTTAATGATAGTTTGTGAAACAACTTTTTTCAATTTTAGGACATAAATTCTGCAAACACCTCCAGAGTTGGTCTGATATTTTGATTATGATCAGCGTTTCATTGAGTATTATATGTTTATTAGTTTTTGAGTTAGATTGCAATTCATTGGTCCGCTTTTGAGCCAAACGCACTATAAATGCAATTTAAAAACCGAACACATTAGCATGAGTCACACAATGTCATGCTTGAATGTCTGAATAATTTCAGGTAAATTCAACACGTGATGGCTGCGAGCATAGCAGCTGCCATGTTTTTGGAACCAGATGTTGATTTTGTAAAATGTTCTCTGATTGGACCATGGAAATGTGAGAGAGTCGTCTCCTGAGAGTGTTTCAGGACAGAAGAGACAGCTTGAAAGTGCATGAGTGGGCATTACACGCTGATGCAAGCAGTAGAACACACTTGAGTCAGGAAGATGCTTGGATGAGGTTGATCAACTTACTGTGTAAATGCTGGTAGGTAGCTGTAGAATGCCTGAGACACAACATTGTAGATAAAAGGGAGATGCTTCGCTATATCTTTTGTAGCCCAATCTTGGAAATATAGATTTAACAGACCCTGATCACCACCTGGAAGAAAACAAACAAAACTTGTACTGCCTCTATGACAATCATGATACACCTAGGATGTGTCAGAAAGAACGTAGTTCTGCACAGCAAAATATTATGACATTTCTTTCCATATCGGTGAGTGGAGAATCAAAGTGAAACACCCTATTTAGTAATTACAACCAGTGCATGTAGATGGGGATGACTGTGGTGCAAGATCGAGATGTTTAACACATCCATGAGTAAGGGTATGGCACTGATGAGGCCTTTAGGTTTGTGGAATCCGTAACCATCAAATCCTGGAACAACTAAGGGAAGCAACTCTGCACAGCAACTTGCTGACAGTAACCAAGCACAGGGGCTTGTAAAGCAAAAAACTGACATCAAGGTATATAATTGTCACTGACATAAGTTATTTATAGCCAAGAGGATCGCGGACTCTCTTCAGTGTGGGGGGAGATCATGGTTGTATTGGGGTACATACAGTGATCATTGTTAAGATGGTCCTGAAACGAGCTTGCTGTGTTAACCTCGTTACATACTTTCATTTTACAGAGTGCAGACCCTGTCAGTGACAATTAATACCTTGAGGTCAGTTTTTGCATTACAAGCACCTGTGTGACCAAGGTGGCCAGGGGCATAGATATATCAATATGACTTACCATCGAAAGTTCCCTGCGTCAATGCAAATTGAACAAGGGCACAGTACGTTTCCAAACTCGGCACCAGCACAAAAATACCCGAGTTGAAACAGTCGGGCCAACCTGCATCTGGGGCTGCAGAAAGCTCATCACGGTCGAATAATTCATCAACATTTTGTAGCACCTGAAACACCAATGACATTGTCATCAAAAACATCATCAACATCAAAACCAGCATCACCTCTATTGTACATGACCTTAGCAAGTTCGTTGTCACACGATGACAGTCACACTCCGGCACAGCGATGACTAACATAACATCACTGCCACAGGCTAATTTGCATATCACGTGACCAGACTTTTCTCCTGTTTGTAAACAAATGCGCATATTCATAATAAGGAGAGACTGGACTCACGAAAGCTTTTCCGCGCTCTCTTCATATTGTTTTACATTGTTACATATATATTCTTCCACAACTGCGACAGTAAGGTCTATGACAGTACATATTTAGATATCAAACTGGCTGCATCGTTTGCTCTCCATCAGATTCGATGACAGCACGTGGAGTCGTACAACCTATGTAAACAAAGGATCGCTACACAAATCGAAATAGTGTTACATGTTTTTGGATATTTTCTCAGTGAAACTAAACCATTCTATTAAAGATGTTTAGTTAGATGTGTAGACTCGTCAAAAATAAAAGAGTAAAAGAAATCTGTACATTATATTGAATGGACATTGCAAGATGTGACGAATCGTCACATTTTTCTGGCCTGTGGCAGAGGTACTATGCTGGCTGGACGCATGGAACTCTGGGTAGGAGAGTGGATGACAGTGAGAGAAAGCAAGGAAAGCAGGAGAGTGAGTGAGTGAGTGTTTGTTTTAAGCTGCTTCCGCTACTTTCAGCAATATTTCAGCAACATCACAGCTGGGGGACACAAGAAATGGGATTCATACATTGTACACATCAGAACTATTAAACATTGTAATGCAAACCCCACATGAGTGAGTGAGTTAAAATTTTAGATCACATCGGCAATATTTCAGCCATATCAACGGCAAAAAGTTCTGGAGTAAGAATAAGAAACCCCACATGAAAAGGAGACACTGTCTCTGAGTGATCAGGGTATATATTTACTCCGCTGTGTTTATTGTATAAAACTGGCAGATAGGATCAAACAATCCAGTGATTGATGTCATGAGCAACAGCCCACACTGTCAAGGTACGACACGCCATCACATGAGGCACATGAACCAAGCTGACAGAGAATAAAATAGTCTTGAAGCTAGTCCTTTCTCTCTTAAGAGGTGAGGAGAGGTGAAATGGGGTTTAACGTCATACTTAATAAAATTTCGCTCATATGACGACGTGCATGCGTGTGTATGTGTGGCTGCTTGTACTACCCCAGACTTCAGCTGGTTTTATTGTGCTTGCTCACTGAGATACCATACCGCAGTGAAGCATGAATACCCCACTCAGACTGACTCCGAGCCGACCAATCCTTGTTGTACCCATTAATGCCGAGTGCCAAGTACCATATTTTAACGTCTTTAGGTATGACGCGGCTAGGGATCGAACCCCAACTTCCACTCTCCGGGTGGACGCTTATTTCAAAAGACTAAACATTTGTTAACAGAGTATGACAGAACAGAAACAGTTCCTACCAAAGTATCGGCATCCATAAAAACACACTTGTTAAACTGCGTGAGTCGCCAACAGTTGATCTTGGTGAGTGTACAGCTCAGGTCAGGACGACCCAGAAGCTGGAGGTTGACAGCATCGTTACTATCGAACACTTCCACCTCATTTATCAGGTCGAACACTCGGCCCAGCTGGTTTCTGAAATTGGCATTACAATAATTGAAGATATTACAAAATATCAAATACTCTCAGGGATTTACCTAAAGTGCTCAGTAGGCGATAATTCAATTGGTCCAAAGTTTCCAGAAATATCATTAAAAAATCCCAAATTATGACAACATTCCCAGATCATTAAATAACACAAGACCCTGTGGACGTGACCTATATTTCACCAATAACAACAAAATGTCCTAATTAAAAAGACATAATGATTAGTTTTATATTTTTGAATTGAATGACATTTCAAATGTATATACTCTACTTCAGGAGGAAAGAAAATAAGAACCGATACCAATCAAGGAGCTTTCTTTAATTTCTTGCTAGAGGTATTTAGCTTTGAATCCTAGAACAACAAGTGTTTGCCACTGATATGGTATGTCCCCCGCCGCTAAAGAATGGAATATCTATTATTTCATGTGTGAAATCATTTGTCAAAGTATGCATGGCAAGAGAATAATGATAAACTGCTCAAGAGTAGGTTACAGTAACAATCTGCATTATTTCATGCAGAAATATTCATTGGCTGTATTGTTTCCATGGAAACACAATATGAAATGCAACAGATGAGCATTTAGTCATCATGCATGAAAAACTTCATGCACAAATAGTCTTTAGTTCGAGAATTGTGGCTCTGAAATGAACTAGAGTTGTTTGAGTTCAAATAGGTTGAAACACAACAAAGTAAAATTATGAAAGATATTACAATTGCAAAAGGTACAGGTTCATCTGACAGGCAATGCATATGGCAAGTTTCAAAACCATTGAGTGATTTTCAAGTCAAGGCTCAGAATAGGACAGGAATACTGACACCAACTCGTCCAAGACGAAAGGAAACCCAACCAAACATATCTCTCACCCACCATCCATATAACGTACCCTCAAAACTTTAATATCCCTCCCCCCATCCAATCATCAATATGCCCCACCTACCAAACAATATATCCTCACCACCCAACCATCAATATCCCAACTCAACTATAAATATCTCACACCTCCAACCATCAATATCCCAACCCATCAATGTCCCCATTATGGAAACAGGTCATACCCACCTCATTGACTGTGTCACCCCATCCGTTACCATGACTACCAGTTTCCGCGTTGTTTCCACACGACGAAGAGAATTCCCCAAGACGAGACATCCCAAGGCATATGTGTCATTTGTTGCCAAGGTAACAAAAGCTTCCTTTTCAGCTGAAAATAAACAGATCATATTAGCAATAAGCAATGTAACAAACACCATTGTCTCCTAACATTCATCACTTGCATTCAATTCATTTCACTATGCTAGGGTGGGAGTGGCTTAACATGGTCGAGTCAAATCTGATCAACACCTACTGAGCCACCCTGCCATCCATTTTGCAATCAATTCACCAAGCCGTTTGTTTCCATAGAAGCATTTCCTACAGGACCTACAGTAGCTAAATACACTCCTCTTCCATAACTTTTCACCAATCTTCGTTTCAAAACACTCGCTACTTGATACATACAGGTTGCAAATTTCATCCAACTGGTTCCAAGATTAAATCTATATCATTACGAGTTCCGAATATGCCAGGTTTACAAAACCTTGTAACTTTGTCTGTCTTGGGATTAAATTGTACATCCAGCTTCTGTGGCAGAGGGATAAGTCATGTCACTGATGTAAGTTCCATAACGGTCTGCAGAGCATTCTGATGCAATTTTATTCTAGTTTGATCTCACCCTAACAGATCTCCTGTAGAAGCCATTCTTGGATGGAGAAGGACTGTCACCCACCTTACACCTTTCATTATCACGTAGATTTTTTCTTATAAATCTGAGAAAAAATATAGTAATCTGTTTTGATATGTGTGATACTCTCCAACTAGGTCATTATATAAAAAACAAATATTCTCCAACCAGATAAAAAAAAAACGGCAAACGCTAAGTGTGTCAAATGCTTCACTAACAATATTCAATACGTCTACAGTATTCCAGTAATATTATCACATGTCAGCTGGAAGTGGGACGAAATCCAAAACAGACACAGACTTCAGACATTTACGACTTCAGTGAAATGCCTAGATATGTAACTTACTAACCTAGAAAAGATGGAGTAAACACAGATTCGAACCCCTGATCACAGGTTTCTGATGTGCCAACGGGACAAAACTGTGTACAGACAAGGGCCACCAGTGTGGTCCAATTACAACCTAGAATCTCCATAGTGATCAATGGAGACTGGTCATATCTTATATATGCCTTGTGTGTGTGTGTGTGTGTGTGTGTGTGTGTGTGTGTGTGTGTGTGAGAGAGAGAGAGAGAGAGAGAGAGAGTGTGTGTGAGTGAGTGAGTGAGTGAGTGAGTGAGTGAGTGAGTGAGTGAGTGAGAGTGTATAAGGCCTATTTCTGAAATCCCCGCTATGATGTTGCTTAAAATGTTGTTAAAACCATACTTTCTCACTCAGTAACATTGAACCATCGCTGAGGATTCCATTTCTGTAGAAGTTTGTTTGTATTGTTGGTTGTTTTAGGAAGCACTCAGCAATACTCAGCAATATTCCAGCTATATGGCAGCATACTGTAAATTATCAATTTCTGGGCAAGACAATCCAGTGATTAAGAGAATGAGCATCGATCTACACAATTGGGATACGATGACATGTGTCAACCAAGTCAGCGAGCCTGACCACCCAATCCTGTTAGTTGCTTTTTACAACAAGCATGGGTTACTGAAGATCAATTCTAACCCGGATCTTCATGGGTACATATGCCTAGTATACTGGACATGGTGAGGAAGAAACATACAGGAAATATTACTGAAGTTGACATTCATAACATCCAAATGCCATTCAAAGACTATACTGGAACTATCACCTTCCTTCATAATCAGGCAAGTCTACTTTGGGATGATTCTAATTGTTTTTAAAAGTGCCAACAGCTTAACCATGTTTTACTCCTTATCAAAGTGAACCTTGGTCCAAAAGAAATTTGGAGTAGCTGAAAATGTCAGCAAAAGTTCATTAATGACACTCTCAATATCCACTGTAATCTTAATTGGTCTAATAACTGATGGTAATAACTGATATAAGGTGTTAAATGTAGCAATGATATGTACTTCACAGATAACTCTAAGAAAAAAAGCAGCTTTCAAATGTTGTTTTACCTTATTACACTGAATATGTATTCAAAACGTAAAATATGCATGGAATATCTTACAATTTCAAGCATTCAAAGAACCTATTAACAGTAGTAGAGTTTTCCAAATTTGCCCACCATACAAGCTTAGTTTGGAATCCTGAAACACAACACCATACTTCCACTTCTTCCAGACACTTGTTTTTTTAATCCAGACTTTTATTTACGTGCCGCCATGACTAACTACAATACTCCCGACTGTGGTATAACACGGCTTCTGGAAGTGATAATGCTATAGTAACACACAGGAATTTGCTGAAACTGCATGATAGACATGGTACATTCCTCTACTTAGCACCAACCACCTTGACCAGGTTTATCATGGTGGTTTATTAACATGTACGGTATTCAGTGCTCTTAGAGGTAGAATATGAAAAAGTATTCCTAGCAACTATTTCCAACTGAACCAAGTTATTCACAACCTGGGAGTGTGGCCAATAGTTGTGGCAGGTGGTGAATCAATCGTCTTAGAAACACTGGGATTCTCAATGTCAACATGGTCTAGGTAAGGTCAGGTGAAATGATTGGTTTTAATTACATTACATTTATATACATTTATATAGCCCTAATATCCAGTCTTGAGAAGACTGCTCAAGAGCGCTGCTGAACTCCGTATGCAATGCTGAACAAATGAGTTTTTAATCTGGATTTGAAAGTACTGAATGTCTGTACTGATCGAAGAGAGAGGGGTTTAATTCGTTCCACAAAGCTGGGCCGAAAACCTGAAAAGACCTTTCACCAAATGTCTTGGTCCAGCTGACTACAGTCTGGCACATGTGTTGTTGTGATGACCTCAGATGGCGTGTTGGTTGATATTCTTGCACAAGGTCTGAGAGATAAACTGGTGCCGTGTTGTGCAAGGCTTTGAACATCAGTACCAGTATTTTGTAATGGAACTGTTGTCGGATGGGTAACCAGTGCAATGTCATCAGAACAGGTGTTATATGCTCTGTCTTTAATGTTACGTTCAAGGTGATGATAATGTTGTGCAGGCCCAAACGTGTGTCTGCACATCTGAGCGTATACTGCACCAGTTTGTGCAATACGGATTAGCTTTTCTTTTATTTCCTTAATACCATTAAGGGGTTCAAAAATCCCATCGCCCAATGCCCGGGACAAGTCAGTTTTCATTTCGGGCAATCAAATAATGGTATCTTACTTGTCTGTGGGCTACTAGATAATTTCCACTTATGGTTTCAAACAGCAAATACACTTGGATTTAATTTCATCTGCTCAAAATGTAGCTATTACATTTCGCAATGATAATAAAGTAGACTTATCTTTCTTTGCTATTTATCCCTTTTCAATAAATAGTCCCGTAAACATTAACATCAAATACCATGTTGATTTCTTCTTTCATAATTACATCATCATAATTATGTCATAAAATCAGGGCAAGTGGAAAATTAGTCAGGACAAGTTACTTTCTTAAAGTCACTTGCCCTGTAGCAAGTGGCTTTTTAAAAACATTTTGAACCCCTGCCATTGCCAAGCACCAAAAAGGTTATCCACAAATACTTAACATTGTTTGGTTTGTTTGTTTGTTGTTTAATGCAGCGCTCTGTATAACTATAGCTATATGGTGGCGACCCATAAACAATCAAGTCTGGATCAGATAATCAAGTGATCAACAGCATGAGTATTGATCTACACAACTGGGATACAATGCAAGTGTCAATGAGGAAATCAGAATTACATGGCCCTTTTCATATTAATGTCCAAAACAATAACAAAAACCTGGCATTATAGCAACCTTTATTACCAGTCAGATCCTGGGCATATATTATTCATAAGGACCAAAAGCATGCAAAGATGGGTTATTTTTTGTAAAATCACCATATTCACATGAAACTTCAAGATGATTAAAATAATCCTGTACAATGTATGTGACTGCAAGAATTCTCTAGCATTTGTGATATATGGACCCAACATTTCATAGTTGTGATCTTCTGCAGCTCCTGTTTCTCATCTGGAATGCTTGATGCGTGTCAGTGTATCTCTTTTGTGTTGACCAAAGCTCATGACGTCAATCACTTGACTATCTGGTACAGACGTGATAATGAAAATATTACCCAGTACAATACAAACCTAATTATAAATTATACACAACATACTGAAGAACAAAGTTTACAGTCATTAAATTTTTCCATATACCGAACAAATTTGAAACTCAGTCTAAACACCCCCAAAATATAAACTTTTTATGTTCAGTATACAACATATGTTGACAGGGATATATGATATAGAAGTATATATAAACAAAGGTTTCCTCAGTTGACTAACTAATTCTAGGAATCCCACATAAAGTCATCAGATGCAAACCAGGGAAGACTTATCGGGTCACACAGCCAAGATTAGACAAACACTTAAACTAGGGAGAAGGCCAACACTCGCCCCTCAAATGACAATGTACGTAGACGCAAGGAGTGGCCATGTAAACATGGTAAACATTAGTATAACATTTGGCAATATATGTGAGTGAGTGAGTTTAGTTCTATGCCGCTTTTAGCAGTATTGCAGCAATATCAGTATTATCACAGCAGGGGACACCAGAAATGTGCTTCACACATTGTACCCAAGTTAGATTCAAAACCGGGTCTTCGGCGTGATGAGCAAACGCTTTAACTACTATGTTACCCCACTGCCCCCCCGCAAGATATGTAAAATAATAAGCAATAACATGTGAATACATGTAATATTGATACACCTACACATGGATGTAACCTACACTAGCAGGAAGGAACACATACATCCTAACCAATTTCTGGTCCAAATAGTAACTTTGTAAAGAATAGATTTTTTAGTATTTATACACATGGATGTAAGCTACAATAGCAGGAAGGAACACATACATTCTAACCATTTTCTGCTCCAAATAGTAACTTTGTAAAGAATAGATTTTTTAGTATTTTCAGAAAGCCAATAGTAACTCACATCAAGGTAAAAATAATTTAAACAGTTATATAATGTCTATTAGCTTATAGAGGGTATATCGGCAGAAACTGTAGCAGTAAGTTAACTGATCAATTAACAGTTGCTATAGTTACACAATTTCTTCATCAGAGGCATTCTTCTTTTTTATTGGCTTTTTATTTATCTATCAACCAATCAGTACTAGTACTACTAGTATTCTATTTACCCATTACTGCTTATAGTCATATGGTCATGTCACAGACTTACCATAAGTTACATATTGAACTGAGAATCAAGGATCATGAATATTTTGACAGACGTAATAATCACATATCTAAATTTTAAGAAATTCATACTTTCACCAAGATGATCATCCTGTCATAATTCTAGGGGTAAAATCACAATGAATATGAAAAACATTGGGTTGGTACCACTGTACACATGAATGTACTCATGCACGTAATCTACACCTGCATGAATATGCATAGGAATACATCCTGCACCTGGGGGTAACCTACAACTGTGTCCCCTACACCTGCATGAATGTGCACCTGAATGTAACCTACACCTGCATGAATGTGCACCTGAATGTAACCTACACCTGCATGAATGTGCACCTGAATGTAACCTACACCTGCATGAATGTGCACCTGAATGTAACCTACACCTGCATGAATGTGCACCTCAATGTAGCCTACACCTGTATGAACAAAAACCTGTATACAGTCCACACATGGTGGCATATTTAACATCGGATCACCTGTCAGGTGGCAGTGAGTGAGTTCACTGTTTACACAAGTAGCTGAATTGTCCCCATATGGCACAGAAATATTGCTGAATTGGCAGGAACCAATAGCAAACTACTGTGATTACTTCTTATGATTCATGGTTAAACAAACAAAGACCTGTCATATCACACTCATATTTCCACAATGAAGTGATTTGACACCAATATTTCCATATAGCAGATACACATCATCCAAGTTGCCACAGTGTCGGGAAAATACACCCCTATTTCCACAATGTAGTGATATAACACCCATATTTCCATAATATAGAAAAATGACACCCATATTTCCACAATGTAGTAATATGACAACCATATTTCCACAATGTAGTGCTATGACACCCAATTATTTCCACAATGTAGTGATATGACACCAATATTTCCTCAATGTAGCGGTATTACAGCCATATTTCCTCTATGTAGTAATATGACACCCATATTTCCACAATGTAGTGATATGACACCCATATTTCCACAATGTAGTGATATAACACCCATATTTCCATAACGTAGTGATATAACATCCATATTTCCACAATGTAGTGATATGACACCCATATTTTCTCAATGTAGTGGTATAACAGCCATATTTCCACAATGTAGTGGTATAACAACCATATTTCCTCAATGTAGTGGTATAGTAACTGTATAACACCCATATTTCCACAATGTATGACACATATTTCCACGATGTTACTGCCCCAATTCTGTAATACCACAACCATATTGCCACAAGAGTCAGACAAGGACCATTTGCTTTATATGCTAATGTCAAAATGTAAAGTATTATTTACAAGAACTAGTAAGTTACCCTCAGTCACTTCTCCATGTACTGGCACTCACAAGAATGTACATGCATCCTGTTACCTAACGTCTATACCTGTCTAATGTAGAAGTTATGTACAACATTAAGCACTTACTGAATGAGGTCACAGACAAACTTGCTGACCTAGCTACTATTCATGCAACTATGAATGTAGATTGTGGCAGCCTCGTACTTGACTGACCGGATTCCAGTTCAGTCTGAAGCTGCAAGCAACACCCACATTTACAGGAGTAGATCTTTTAACATTCCAAAAACTCTTAGCTCATGAAATCATTTGTGCTATGTAACTTAATTATACACTGTATAACCACATGAATTTTAAATACCTTATCATTCTTTGCCAATGGGGGTGTTGGTAAGACTTCCGCTCATATCCCCCCTAAATTTTAACAATGGGGAAATTTCTTTGTGTCATATTTTTAGAAGTTGGATATGTGTTTCAGTATGTTTAGATACAATTAAAGAAACATTTTAAAACTCATCCTCATCAGATGATGAGTGAGTGAGTTCAGTTTTACGCCGCACTCAGCAATATTCCAGCTTTATGGCGGCGGTCTGTAAATAATCGGATCTGGACCAGAAAATCCAGGGATCAACAGCATGAGCATCGATCTACACAATTGGGATGCGATGACATGTGTCAACCCAGTCAGCGAGCCTGACCACCCGATCCCATTAGTCGCCTCTTACGACAAGCATGGGTTACTGAAGGTTCATTCTAACCCGGATCTTCACGGGTTCCTCATCAGATGAGGAATATATAATATTCAGGTGATATGATTAGATTTGACTAGAATGAAATCTAAGGGGGATACGGGTGGAAATCTTTCCGGGGTGTTTAGGCTCAAACTGTTAAGTACTGTTTCCTCAATTCCTTGTATCCATACTTACAAAAAACTGTATCACCCTACTCCTCCTCCACCCCACAAAACAATACAACAGTTACATATTAAACTGTTCTGATGACATACTGCTATTGTTGTTACTGTTAACTCTGGACCAGGAATTCATGGCCATTCTGAAGAGTTTCATGCCAGTAAAACTGGCACAACCACACATGGTTCAAGTTGGGGAAATTACTGTACACCATAGCAAAGTTCATCACTTACTTTGGCTGAAGTGGTCGTTGTCGGCACGGATACTACAGATGTGTACCCCAGGTACATGTACCCTGGCCATAATGAGAATACAGAAACGTACCCTAGAACGATTCCATTCCCATTGTGTCGTATTCTTGACCGGAACTGTCATACTGTTGTATTAGATACATTTGATTGCGTCATGTAATTAATGAGAATACACAGTAACGGATATTTCGCGATGCATATGAATACCACTCACAATCAGTTGAACGGGAACAAGTACATGCGGTTTCGTTTTGAATTGCGGAATATGGACTCGTCCGCCTTTCAGGGTACTGGGTACGTTTCTGTATTTTGACTTTGTTTAGGGTACATACCTGTATACAGAAACGTACCTGGGGTACGTATCTGTAGTACCTGTGCCGACAAGGACCCCTTCAGCCTTACTTTGCTGTGTTCTTCATGGACAAATAAACAGTAACATCTAGGTCACCCTTGGAAACAGATTTCTTCCCTACACAAATACAACACTGTACAGTTTTTCATCAGGCATGTGTATCCCGTGCACGACGAGATAGTGGCTGTTCCGTTTCTGCGGTTTCACCCCGCCGCGACAGATAACAACTTTTGCGTTTTCAATGATGATAGTTTCTTAAACAAATTTTTTGGTGGAGTCAAATATAAGAAAGCTGTTGGGTATTAGTAAATGATAAACATGTGTACTATTTATATTTATGTGGCACTTTTGTACAATGATATAATTTGCAATTCATCGGTCCGTTTCTGACTCAAACGGACTGTAGAGTATAACACCTACCTTGCTGCGTGTCCATCTTGGCCGATACTAACCTCCTCCACAAGCTATGAGCTATTCCCTAATATTGCACTAACATGTCCCTCTCTAAACAATGGTAACACGGAAGACCTATCACATTGGGGGAAGATCAGTGCTGAAGTTCTGCTCTCACAATCACTGGTATTGTTAGCTTCATGACATGATTGTCCTGACAGCCTAGTTGTTTTCTCAACCATATGACAGACACAACAGCAGAAGCATAGTGTTTACTGTTTGCAACTGTGAAGCTTTATATTAGATATTTGGCATTTCAAGTGCTTATCTTTACTCCACAAAACACAGTATGAAAACAGTATCATCGTTGTCATCTTGAACATGATGAAAGTACTAATTTTAATAAAAGCTGTTGATAATGAACTAAGGCATTGTAGCATTGAAACAAAGCTCTACTGTGTGCTAAATGCCCCTTGGCGTTCCCCCATTGTTTAACATAGAAGTGACTCAGCACTAATCTCCATTCTATAAATTATAATCCTACTGAATTGACAACAATGATCAAGTGTCACAAATTCTTTGATCACTCAACGACAATTACTCATTACTTTGTGTGATAGTTTTTAGTTCAACAAGTAACGATTAAAAAAAATATTCTGTTATCTATGAAAACTGTTGTAGCATGTTTACTCGGTCAGCCATCCCTAAATACAGAAATAGAATTACTATTCAAAGAACCTGAAGAGAAATGTGCCCTGTGAGTGAGTGAGTGGAATGAGTGAAATGTTGAATGAAAGCCCAAAGTGATGCAGATGTTTATCAGTGTTCACGAATAGCGTCTGACCCTCTGACAAATCCGGCAGATTCGCCAACGGTCAGACAGAAGTCTACAACCCGCCAGCCCCAGTTTCTGACTGTATATTTCACAATGACTTTGACTGAAGTTGTTATATGTGACATGTGTCACTTGTTTGCTTTTTATAAATCTTATGTTTGTTAATAATTTCAATGCCAATATAAGAAATGTTAAATAAGAAATGTGTGTTTAATTTTATTCTATGGGTCCTGTGAATTTTCAATGGGTCAGACAGACATTTGAAACTTACAGGACCCAATGTCCTGTTACTTGGAAACACCATTCGTGAACACTGGTTTCTGTTCTGGTGAAGCCCACAAGCATATATGTTGCTAACCTAGAAACATCAGGAAACAAACCAGGATTCAAAACTACTATGACGGGCATCTTAATCATTGTTTTAAATCAAGTACATACATGTCTTGTAAACGTACTCCTTGGACACTCTACTATAAGGAAATACCCACTGACAAGAAGTCTGGCAACAAGGACATTGCAAGGAAACAACGATAATCATCAAGATAAATATACAGGCCAAAAACAGAACAGAACCTCATCATGGCAGGGCACTGGCGAGCTGAAAAATATTTCCGTGAAATTGTATCTCATAGATAAGACGACCCCCTTCTAAAGACATATATTTTGGGTCCTCAAAATTCGGCTTATAGACGGTCATATACGGTAGAAACTAAAACATGCATGGAGCAATATTCACAGATGAAAATGATAACCGTTGTTACAATATTTGTGCATTTATAACAATTAATGCCATTTACAGTGGAGCAACAGCCATGACCATAAAATTCAGAGGGGTAGACGAAGCACATGGTGTAAAATACTAATTGTCAGATTTGCCCTTTGTGGAAGTTGTGGTGGCTGAGTAGGTTAGATCACTTTGAGCGCTGGCGATTTTATGTATGAGAGTGTGGGTTCGAATCCCGAGTGTAACTCAATCTGTACTTCACAGAGGATGCGTTTCCCCAAATATAACATGTTACATTTGCTCATTTTCTAAAGGGCATCGTGTAATCATGCCTGACAGTGTTTGGTAAGTAAGATCAGTCTCCACAGAGGGTTGCTGGCCGCCACCGTTTCCTCATTATGTCATACAGGAGAACACAGACAAATACAGTTCCCATTCTTACAGTTGTAGTCAGACATAGAGAGTCAGTAGAATACTACGCAAGACACTTTAAGGAAAATTTATTATGACAGAGTGTGTGAGAAATCACCATTGTAAAACTAAAATACCTTAGAAAATCCTCAACATTCTTTATGTTGAGGGCACAGATGTCACAATGTCCATTCAAATGGCTTCGGTTTCTTGGCATTAAGAGTTACTTCCAATCCCCAGTTACTTTTCCTTTAACACAAAGGTTGAGTGGTCCGTAAAATGTTAATGAAAATTTGGGGAGAAAAAGTTTAGATCACAGGAAGTTGAAAACAATGGGAATTGATCTGAGGGAAGTGTAGGTTTACCCTGGACATATAGAAAGTATATGGTTTTGAGTGAGTTTAATCTTATGCCGCCTTTAGCAATATTCCAGCAATATGACAGCGAGGGACACCAGAAATGGGCTTCATAGACTGTGTATATCTTGAGTGTCACCGATTCTATATTGTACTGGTCATATTACCATAGCCAAGGCTGTTCACGTGTACAGACTATATCCCTTGCCACCTACATAAGTCATGGAAAACAAATCAATGATACAATCTTAACATCTGTTCAACCAGATGCTGGGCAGACTTAGCTTTACAAAGATCTGTTACAACCTCGATCATCCAAGATAATTTTATCTGTATTCAGTTATCATTGACTGAGCAGTTTCCTTCCCAAGGTTCACCTTGAGCTTTCACAAGAGATGACCCTTACAGTGCACTCAGGACCAAGCACCCTACTGTGCCATGCACGTGCTGAATGTGTCCAGTCGGACGGTACAGTATTACCAGTAGACCTCAATATGTTCTTCAAACAACACATACCGCAATATTTTTCTGAGAACCTGTATATTGGGTAAAACATTGTAACAAGTTTTGTCATTATCTAAATGTTAATAAGTTATGGTTATAGTTAAAATCTAGAGAGACTTTAATTCACTTCTGATGTTTCCCCCTGCCATGGGGTATTGCTGGAATATTTCTAAAAGCGGCGCAAAACTAAACTCACCCAGTCACTCTGATGTTTCCCATTGTAAAAAAAACAATGGGATTAATTGCCAAAACGGCATTCTTATATGCTAATTGTATTGAAAGGAAAGAATCCATAACTATCAAAGCTGCATCAGAACCATATCATTTGTTTATTTAGAAAATAGGATCTGTATGTACAATCAGTGGCACTTAATGCCAACAAACTTAGCCCCCAATATAACGCATTATATATCACAAAACGGATATGAGTGTTGCTGTATATTTCAATACAATTTATCTGCCAATACAAAGCCCAAGTGTCCAGTATATTTAGCGAAACAGAATGGAGATGTAACACAATGGATAATGGTGGGTTTTATTGCAAATATATTTCTACTTTCACTTGATGTTTGTGTAGTGTGTAGCAGATCATATGATGTTCTTGTTCTTCATAATTCGTAAAATTTGTATTTGTAACTTCTATGATAAATGTGCACAATACAGAATTCTGTCAAATGATCTCTTAAGCAAACTGAAAAATGAAAAAACTAAGTAATGGAGTGTTTGCTGTATAACATGCATTCAGCTATATTCTAGCTATATGATGGTGGCCTGCATGTAATCTAGCCTCAACCAGACAACCTGGTGATTGATATAATGAACACTGATCTATGCAACTGGGATATGAAGACATGCCTCAACAAAGTCAGGAAGCCTGACAAACCAGATCAAGTTTATTGCCACGACATGCAATGCTTGTTGAATACCCAGTTCTAACTAGAATCTCACTAAGGATGCACCATATACACTATTCCAGTACTTTTCCAAAATCTTATAAGGGGCAGTGGGGTAGCCTAGTGGTTAAAGTGTTGGCTCGTCATGCTGAAGACCCGGGTTCGATTCCCCACATGGGTACAATGTGTGAAGCCCATTTCTGGTGTCCCCTGCCGTGATGTTGCTGGAACATTGCTAAAAGCAGCGTAAAACCAAACTCACTCACTCATCTTATGAGTCTACCATACATACTTTATGCCAAATTTTCACTTTATATATTTTTAGCAGCAGGACTAGAATAACCATGATATTGTGACCTCAGTGGCCCATAAATCACTTTTACTACACTTTGACTTCGAAAGTGTGGCTAAAATCAGGCAGCTATTCAGTTCTAAATACCCAGCATCTACGTGTGTTTCATTACTTCATGTACCCAAAGAACATAAAGGAATAAGCATCAATGTCAGGTTTACAAATTACAGTAAAGTTTCACTACTGATCTGCTAAAGTGATCTGAAACAGAGGAGCAATCATCCTAATCACAAAAGTGGTTTTCCACCATGAAAGACTGCTTGCATTTCCTAAAATTTTCTTACAGAAGTCAGTTAACTTAACCCAGATTTCTTTGATAGCTTGTAAGATAAATAAAGTTTAAAATCATCATAGTAAAAAACTTAATTCTTTCCATGAGAGGCCCATTAGTGAAAAATATCCGAAGCTTCTACATCCTGGCATCTGTCTTAGAAATAGAAGACGGCTACAATCTGTCACATGGTCAATATAATTATGGGCCAGTGTGGCACTGCATCATTCGTGTCTGTCTCCTCACCAACACTGTTACTGTCCTACATTCTAACTTGCAATCTCATCTTCGCAAACACGTTTAGAAACACTTAAATTCCATACTATTTATAACTTCTGGGTTTTCTTTGTGAGCATGACTGCCATATCCTTCATGTGATCAAGGCAATGCCCGGGAATTCTGTTATCAGCAGTGTATTTCTGTGGCTGGTGACATATTGATAATATTGTGCCCATCATGATAACAACCCAACAAAAACAAGTGTTTGCCACTGATATGGCAATGTCCGCAGCCGCTAAAGAATGGAATATCTATATTTACTACTTTTTATTTTTGGGTCACGTACAAGATGCCTGAAATGACTGGTGTCTGCATAATCACCCAATGTTAAAAGTGTCGTGGTGACCTTGAAGATAAGGTCAAGGTCACCCAAAATCAACTGGTGTCTGCGTAATCCCCCAATGTATGCTGTCACCAAATTTGAAGACATTGGGTACAACAGTCCATAAGATGCCGTGTTAAGAAGAGTTTGAAAAGTGTTCAAAGTGTCATGGTGACCTTGAAATTAAGGTCATGGTCACC